AGGGAAAGAAACGGAGTAAGGCGAGTATATATATATATATATATATATATATATACATATATGTATATATATAGCACACGAGACCGAGAGCGAACGAACGCATCTAGTCGCGCGCATCTCATGCGGCCGTACCGCCTCGCGTGTAATAACCCTACACGCTTATACATTCAGTTACAATAATAATTGAGCAAGTTCTGCCAGGTTACGATTTGCTAATGGAACCTAAATTGGGTTGCGACCAACGTCATTATTGCGCAGGGTGAAATAGTCCATCAAGTAACCAACAGAGAGAAAGAGAGAGAGGGTTCGGACATATTTTGGGCTTGGCCAAAGACCAGTATGAGACAAGGTTGAAACATACAGATGGCCGACAAGTAAACCTGCTTAATTACCACGCAACGCGGCAAGAAACCTATCTCGGTGTTTCAAAGTAGTTTCAGGGGGCGGAAGGAGGAGATGATGATGATGATGATAAGGAAGTGGTGGTGGTGGTGGAGAAGGAGGAGGAGGAGGAGAAGGAGGAAGATGAGAATGAGGAAGATGTGGAGGCCGAAGAAGAAGAATGTGATGAAGAAGATGAGGAGACGGAGGAGGATGAGGAGGTGGAGGAGGATGAGGAGATGGAGGAGGAGGTGAAGAAAGAGGATGAAGAGGAAGCAGAGACGTGGGAGCCAGCACTCACAGCTAGCAGGTGTTGCGATTCCGGTGGGAACGTGAAACGAGGTGCGCGTGTGTGTTGATCGACGCTCCACACGGTGATGTATCGCATCATTAGCTCACATTAGCCATCGCATTTCCATCGCATTTCAGGCAAATGTGATTAGATGTACAGCCCGGCTACAGTCGGCATCATATATGCGAACTGCGTTAATTCACCGCCGGCAACATGCGCAGCATCAACCGACCGGTGTTCCGAACGCCAGCAATTCTCTGGGGCCTGCAGAGGCGGGCGACGCGGGGGCACGCGACAGCGTTGTACAGCCTCCTACTGCTACTACTAGTTACGCACGCTCGGCTTCTAGTTCATCTTCCCTTAAGCGTGCGCTGCGCGCGGCATACACGCGAGGCGGGCGTGCGTGCGGTACTGCGTGTGTGCGGGCGTGCGGTCGCGAGCGCACGTCTATGCATATGCAAGCATGGTGTTGTCCATGTTTCTGCGTATATTATCAAGAGTAGATAATAACACAAGAGTGAGACACCCGATTCCCGCATTTTTAACCGATTTTTCTCATCAAAATTTGCAACCAATAAAGAAGCAAGTGTATACGATCCTCATCTTATTATGACCACTAATCACTCACCTTCGTGGTACTGATATTCGTTTACATATATTTGCTAGCGTATTGCTGTAAATCGTAATCTTGCACGAGCTGAATTCGCACAATTTACCGCTAAAATGGCGCTATTGTGTGAGGACGCTATAAGCATAGCAAAGCTAAGCAAAGCTAAGCATAAGCTATAGCAACGGACTGCTTCCAAATCATTCGTGCCCGGATAGGGTTGAGAGACAATCTAAATTTCGCATTTTGATCTCGTGAGGAACCGCGAGATGCGCTCAGTTATTGTGATCGCAACACAAGAAATTGACATACTATCTTACATAAGTAATTATACAATAATAAAAATATTCTCTGCAGTAGTTTGCAGTAAGTATCACATTACGCACGCGCAGGTAATCAAGTACATTAAACCCTTATCGGGGCACGAATGATTTGGAAGCAATCCGTTGCTAAATATTGGCGCCACTATAGCTTCAAAATTTGTCTTAACACCTCACACAATAGCGCCATTTTAGCGGTAAATTGTGCGAATTCAGCTCGTGCAAGATTACGATTTACAGCAATACGCTAGCAAATATATGTAAACGAATATCAGTACCACGAAGGTGAGTGATTAGTGGTCATAATAAGCTGAGGAACGTATACACTTGCTTCTTTATTGGTGGCAAATTTTGATGAGAAAAATCGGTTAAAAATGCGGGAATAGGATGTCTCACTCTTGTGTTATTATCTACTATATTATCCACCGCCTTCAGCCACGCACGTACGCACGCATTATACGCAGGCGCACACCCAAACCAGTGCAGGAGCATAAGCAGGCACATACGTACGACGCATACACACGGACGAACGAACGCGTGCCGGTACGCACGTAAACTCACGCACCCCACGCACGGGCACGCAAACGCGCAAGCACGCAACTGGGAGCCTGGACGAAAATAGGAAAGCCCTCCCTGTACGTAGGAGCACTAGCCTCCTCCCTCCACGAACAAGGTGTTAGTGTCATGAGGCGAGGCTAGAAAAGTCAAGCTTCGCTAGCCGCGCCCTCTGTTTACGCTGCGGCTCTATGTGTGCGCGCTTACTTCGATTCGCAGACGAAAAGTACACGAAAGTTATAGTCTAACCAGTTTAGGGCAGCACCGCGAGTGTACTCTTTGTGTGGGCACATAGCCCGTCACTGTATCAACACAGCTTCTTCTGTTCGGTGCTCCGCGTCAATATATGCTTAGCGCATGTTTTTGCAGTGCCTGTAACGACAATATCTCACCGAGGGAGATTCAGCAACTCGCTGAAATTGAGTTAGTCTAATTTCATCTATTTTTCATATCTCGAGGTAAACCGATGTCGACAATTACGCATAAATGTTTGCATAAACACGGACACTTGGCTGAATCGAAGCAAATTCTTGTGTAAACGTAGCGATTGGCAGCTCGATTTTTTGTTTTCACTATGAAAAAGGGAGATATTAGTATTTTATTTATACAATACCGTCAATACTGTCTAATGGACTCTTATTCAGGCTGTTCTGCTTGCATCAATGACAAATACGACACACGCATATACGCTCTCCTATGACACTATTTGTCATAGGAAGATTCTTCCTATGACAAATATTGTTGTATGTGTTGTGCGCATCATAGGAGTTTATAGGAGCGCTATTATGACGTGCAGCAAGCAGCAGCAGCACCGTTTCACAACGCAAGCAGTGAATTTCTGCTGTAAAGCAGAACGAAGTTGACTCGCCAATATTTGTCATGGAAAGAATCTTCCTATGATAAATAGTGTCATAGGAGAGCGTATATGGGTATGTCGACTCGTATTTGTCATAGATGCTCGCAGAACATGTTGTATTATTGCAAGCTGCTCACGTCATGGTATCTATACACATACTCGCACACACACACACACACACACACGAACAGCTACACACACGCACACTCAGCCACACATACGCGCACGCACACAGACAGTTAGGCAGGCATGCACGCACATACGCCAGAGCACACGTTATGTGCTCTTGACATATATTTATGCGTGTATTTTTTTCATTGTCTTTTGCCTACTTGCGCCAAATACTTGTACTCACTCACTACGCTATACTCGGTGAAACCCGGGGTTTTCGAGCTATTTGCAGAAATTCTGCTATCGACAATTGTGCGCCTATTTATATTATTGCACTGACGAGGTGTAAGCGAGCGCGTGCGCACGCACGCATGCACGCACGCATGCATGTACGAACGCAAGCATGCACACATCCGCATGAACGTACGTACCCGCGCGCGCTTATGGATCTGCTCTTACATCCGTAAGTAAAAATAACAATATCACGCTCGTAGTGCACAACATTAGCCGACTTAAGTCAGTGGCGACAGAGCGAGTAGCGCACGCAGGCTCACCTTCCTTCCCGCTCACGCATTTGACGCGATCACGGATCTCGACGTTGTAGTTCTCGAAAGACATGAAGATGCCGCGCGGTTCGTACTTGCCCTTGGGAATGTAGACTTTGCTATAGCTGTGCTGCCATTCGAACCTCTCCAGTCCGTCGTACACGGCGATCTTGCCATAGACCTGCAACCGCGTAACGGCGTGTAAATTCGGATGAAAGCAGCGTGGGGTGGTTTCTATTTTATGTCTATCAAAGCATGTTACAGGCAAGATAACCTGCGCAGATTCTATTGCAAATCTAGAAATGTGATGGTGTGTGCATCTTCATCTCTATCTTTATATTTTTTCCATGCATCTCTCTCTCTCTCTCTCTCTCTGTTGCTCTCGCGCCTTATCTGGCGCGCGCGCGCTCTCTCTCTCTCTACCTCTACCTCACTCGCTCTTTACGCCTCGTTCTCTGAGCAAAAAAAAACCATCACAAAAGGCATGCCTAATAGATGGGGGATGGATTTAAAACATTGGCTCGGCGACACAACAAACACTGTTCCAGACAGCATATCTAGAGTATCCAGCCAACGCTACACATGTTCAAAGACTTGCTGGCAAGCGGAGAGATCCAAGAACCAGTGGCATGTGATGGCCCACACGTTAAAAGCGTCTTTAAAAAAAAAACTTCTTCAGATTGCACTCGCAATACACTTTACGCAGTACTTCAGAAAGCACTCTAAATTCCTCCTGAGAACGTCGGACCAGCATCCGACGATGCTGCACTGCAAAATGTCGACTTTAATTCGAGAAAGAAAAATTGACGTCTTCCTGCGCGATCAAACGTGGACCAACTTCAAGATTTCTAACTTTACTCGAATGTGTTATGGTGGACAGGCAATGACGCATCGTCGACACACGCACGCTGTTGCTGTCTCATCTGCCTCCACTCTGTGTGGAGAGCTCTGCCATAAGACTTTGCATTGCTGACAGCTCTAATTCTGCACTTAAGAAGGAACCGCTTCTGCACAGCTCCCTTATAACGGATGCGCTAGCAGAGGCGTCCCCCGTACTCACCTATTTCTTCCGTATATCTATCGTGCATTCTCCATACTCACACGCAAATATGCCTGTCACGGCCTATAAATCGAACACTGTTTCAACACGTGCCTATACCAGCAAATTACAAGCATCCGTAACTCGGCTGCGATTCTAGAATTCTAGAATCGCAGTCGAAATTTCTGTGAAATCGCTATGTCTGCGGGAACGTGCAACTGCAACTCGTTCGATTCTGGTTTCAGTTGCAAGAAATCAAACTGTTTTGATTTTGAGCGACTCGTCGCTCCCAATCGCTCCCAAATTGTTATAGAATTGCTTCGAAATCGCATGCGTGCGCACACCCGGCCGATCGCTTGCGGTTGCAGGTTGCAGCGACGAGCAACCAAAAGTCGTAAGTCTGCGCTAGGCTCAAACGTGCATACACTACATGCCGCCTCTCTCGCACCCGACCTGATGACATCTTCGACATCCAACTCTCGTCATTGTCGCTGCCTACCTCGAAGTACTTCTCGAGGAAGCTGAACGGCACGTAGACCTCCTTGCCCTCGCGGCGGCACGAGACGGTGTACTCGTCGTTGATGAGACACTCGATGTTGCTGTACGACTCGGCGTTCGTCTCGTGATTCAGCCGCAGCTTGGGCACTCTCGCATCGCGTGGATCCTGCGGGTAGTTGGCATGGTTACCCGACTCCTCCGCGCGGTCCGGGTATAGCCGTGAGTCGCCGAGCTGTGACTCACCTGCGTGGAAAACACATCAGGCTCACAAAACTGAGAAAGATCTGTAGTATAGTGTCAAGAATTCTATGCTTACATCGTATTGTAATAAAACACCATGGCAAGGAAAATTGTTCAATATTCGTTATAAATATTTAAAAAAAAATTTAAACTGACAGCTATAGGCCTATATACGGTGGCGCCACTACAAGCGCATCCACTGACACAGTTGCGCAACGCAACTTTTCGGCTACAGGCTACCGAGCGAGGATGTTTCTTATATATTAGTTTAAGGAGGCGTATAACAGTAAGCCTCCGCAAATTGTTCACCGTCGCACTATTTCGTCTCTAGAATAGGCATTTTTTGACATTTTTTTTCGCAGAAATTCGGCATTAGAGTGCAATAATTTGCATCATGCACGCAAGTTAGATGCCTCGTGGACATTTTTGTCTTTGAAATGTGTTCAGACAACTTTGCAGAAATTCGCATCATAGAGCTGGCAAAAGTTTCGAGCGGAGCATAGAGCATGAATCTGTAGTTATTTAACATAATTAAAGTGTATGTTGTGTAAGCGCAGTAACAGTGTGAGTATTTTTAATTAATTTTTGTTCGATGCTTATTCAGGCCTGCCGCCTATGGACACCCTCTACTGTTGTCCAACACCTTAAAAGGAAAAGGATTGAAATATCTTATAAAACACTCTTATATTCAGTTATAATATGGACGAATTTGCCCTAAAATGAAAATCATTCGATTAAACAGCAATTAGGTATAAATATAATTGCACGTTTGTGATTAGCACTCGGTCGGTAACGTGCAAAATGAATCGGCAGAAGCGCAACTTTGTAAAGGTGGCAGCACAATCGCGAGGTACAATACCAGTGAGTATTGTAATTGCTGGTAATATACGATAATGGTCAGGAAGGCTGTTCGAAATAATTACATTAAATCGAACTTTCCACACGTTCTGCGTGCGTGTGTGTTTACGATGGCGAGGATGTAAACACACACGCACGCAGCTGCTACTCACTACTCAGTTAGAACTCCCTCACCGCTCTGCCGAAACAAACACCTCACGCTGTGACGTTACACATGCAAAGGTCATGTCCGCACAATTAGGATTACCGTGCGATGGGTACCGCCTAGCTCTAGAACTATAGCCCTTGAGGTGCACCTACGGCAGAGCGAAGGGCCATAGTTCTAGGGCTATAGGTACCACCCTGCTAATTACTACAGTTAGCCCATCTCGGCATCTTTCTCTGGGCATATAGATGCATTAGATCTTACCACATTTGGCCCACCAGGAGAGGCTCATCAGGCAGGCGGCGATGATGATCACACACAGCAGCAGCTTGACGTTAAACCGCATCGTCGTCACTCTACACATTCTGCAACACACAAAACACACACATATTCAATGTATATAGTATTATTTAATGTATTATCATCGTCATCGTCGTCGTCTTCAATCTTTATCGTCAACGTCATGGTCGTCGTCGTCACGTAAACACTACTTTACAACACGCTTCATGCCATGACCACATCATCAGCCTCGAAGTCATTGTAGGATACCAGGATTGATTACCAGGATATTGTAATCTCCATCTTTGCTGTTACCACATCGCGCATAACTCACGATCTTTTTATACAAAATACCAGACTCAGTGGCACGACATATAGTACAATACTAACACGCCTACTACCCCACCCACACCGACCCACCGCCATCTAGTATTTTTACATTTCTGGAAGGCGAGAAGCGGTAGTCTACTGCCAAATCAAAATTGTGATGTCTGTTATATATTCACAAGACCGTTACGCTTGTACTATATCTTAATAATTAGTTCGAGGTTGCCTCCATACTTTAAGCTTCTATGATACATCTATGATTCTATCAAGAGCGTATTAAGAATGCTTTCTTAATTCGCTCTTGATTCTATGATTCTCTAATTACCGCTCGTATATCCGTCTGGTTTCGCACGAATGATCATGACGAATTAGCACGGACTCGCGACGGATGTAGTAAAAATGCCGCCCTCTTCTACACCGAGCTACAGAAGTTAATTATTCGCGCTGCCTTGCCGAAAGAGGCAGGCGCAAAAAGACTAGAGGTGCAATCATATTCCACTTTTGCTGCGTCACGACTAGTAGTAGTAGTAGTAGCATGTGGTTTTTCATTCAATCTAAACTCAGAAGTCAAAGTGGTTTGTTTTTGCGGTTTCTCAGCTAGCCGGTATTATCTCTAAAACAAGCAGTATGAATAGCAGCCTCAGAAACGGGAGCGAAGGCGGGGGGGGGGTGACCCGGGAGATAAATCCATTTCTCTCGCTTTCATTATTAACCTCAATCGCATTTCACGTGGTTAAAATCACACTCGCGACGCATTTAGCGTGTACCACCTCGCCGTGGCAACGGTTCACAATCACAGTCTCTCATAACAGGATGTCAAAGATGGTAAGGGAAAGGCTTGGGCATGGGCTGCACTGCGAGTGCAACAAAAACCCCATTCAAATAAATATTTTGGTTCTAATGACACGAAAAATGCGCAGGTATGGGTACATGTATGAGTGCGTGGGAACATGGATATGGCAGCTCTCGTGTGTAGCGCACACATATACTGGCAATGGTGTGCCATTATAATGATGTGTGCGCACGCCTGTGGGGATGGGGATGGGGGGGGGGAGTAACAGCTATGCACAACGCTTACGTAACATTTAATTGCAAATACATCAACATGCGCATGTATTCTCAATTCTATCGTTATAAATAAACAATGGCGTTTGAATGATTTACAAATTATGTACCAATTGTTAACTCAACCAACTAATATAACGAGCGTATCAACATTACTACACGTAAATGTTTACATCAATCCAGAAACTGTACTCCCGCTCACGTCACTGCGTTGTCCGCAGTTTCTTGGCAACTTTTTCAATTGCATCGAGTCATCTATGTTATTAGCCATCTTGGCCTTGCTCGATATTCTAGAATCTTCCACCAGATTACTGCGGATATGTAGACACAGACCGACACTCAAGTCAGTCAGGCGGGGCACGGGACAGTAGCAGGAAGTGAATTAAGTGGAGGCAAGCATCGATTCGTTTCAGGTAACCACGGCTACACTCTAACGCTCTCCTGTAGCACGGATCGGCAGGTTGATGAAGAATGCTATCAACATTCACCCTTCAGATGTCGCGACCCGACAGGTTCCAGTTTGGAACGACGCCTTCAATAATGTCTTCAGGTAAGTTCAATCGCCACGAAGAACGGATGCCGTACATTGCCACATGCAGTTTAATCTTAGCCGGCAGTAGCTGGATGTGTTTGCTATAAGAGACGTGGTTATACGTAAGGATAAATAGAAACCCCGTCCTATCGCCTTCCTTCTATCGCATTCCTTCGCCTTCCTTAAGCCTCACACTGAAATATTGCTTCCGGATTTCAGCGAAGTATAATTAGCTCGTGTTGTCATGCACGAATTATCTCCAGACGTATAAACACGCATGTAACACGTAACGGGCAGGCGAGGCAACAGTGCATCCGGTGCATCCTGTGCATCCTGTGCATCCTGTGCATCCGGTGCATCCTGCATGTGCACGTGCGCTGCCCTTGTTAAATCCTGTGATATTCCCACGCGCACGCCCCCGGCCCCCGTTTCTCGCCAGCTTCCTTTTTTTGTTCGCGTGCTTCTTTGATTGCGCGCGCCTGGCTTCACGCGTGTCCTCTTCTTGCCTCCCTCCGGCTGCTGCAAGCACGGCTCCGCCACGCTGTGCATGCAGAGGAAGGGGAGGGGCGGTGGCCGGCAGGCGAGCACACGAGAATGTAAATCCAACGCGCTACTCCATTCACGCTCGGCGAACGGCAATTTCATCAACATAAGATGCTCAAGATGCACTCGTGATGGGCAATTTCCCCGGCAGGGCTTCGCGCGTCTGCGGCGGCGACGACGTCGGTGGCAGCGCATCCTGACTGGCTGCGGGCTTCGTTCTCTCGTCATCTCGTGCTGCTGCTAATCACGCTCGCGTGCCGCATCCATGATACACTGCTTTGTTCGCGGCGTCGGCACTAATCACCCCCGCCTAGCTTTGATACGGACCGGCGATGCGCACGTGCTACGCCGCTGTCGGAGAATACACATCGCTGCAGCTTCGCTACGGGGAAGCCAGCACATACGAAATCTTACGGCTCTCACTCGCGCGCGCACTCACGCGTGAACACACGTTTAGTTGTACAGCGGCCGCATTTGCCGTGTTCTTGCAACGGATCTTGCGATTGCAAAATGGACGCGACGAAAGGGAAGACGACGCTGCTTGCATGGACGACCATCAGCTGACTGTATAGTAACGACGAGCAGGTGCTATATCACGCGTGTTACGGATAATAGCACGGCGCAACAATAGTAACACCGCTACACGCGCGCGTAATACGCGGCGCCTTACAGATCATCACCTCTGAGACCTATTACACCTCTTATTATTATAGATCCTCACTTCTGAGTCCTGACACAGCACGATGCCATTGACAGGCAGCCAGCTTCAAACGCCTGCCTTTATAGCGAGCACATGCATGCTGCTATAGCTACACATGCAAGAACCACGCATGGATTCTTCTTCTCCTTCTCTTTCTCCTTCTTCTTCTCCTCCTCCTCCTTCTTCTCTTCGTTCTTCGTCCTCTTCTGCTTCTTCTTTTTCTCCTCCTCCCCCTCCTTCTCTCCCCTCCTCCTTCTCTTCCTTCTTATTCATCTTCTTCTTCTTTTTCTCTTCCCCCTCCTCCGATTCCTCCTCCTCCTCCTTCTCCTCCTTCTTTTTCTTCTTATTTCCTTATTTTTCTTCTTATCTCCTTATTTTGAATCTCGAAACATGGGCTAAACGGAGTTCGTGAATATTGTACAGGATCTGTGTGCGACATCGGCAGCCCGTGTGCTGCCTGCGTGCGCGCGCGTGTGTGTATATATACTGTAGTTACTGCTGCCCCCGCTACCCATTAATGAGGAAATGGCACGACCATATGATGCATAGATGCTGTCAGTTCGCAAAACAGGATTTTTCGCAAAGGTGCTCAATTATTTACCAGCGGCAATGGATTTCCGGAAAAGTTAGACAGCAGGATCTTGAAGCAGGACGCGCGGTCGGCAACGAGTCAAAAGTCCGGCGCGGTTAATCTTTCGTCTCTTGATTGCCCGCGGACGTCGCTGCTGCAGTGGAATCTTCATTAGGCCAGACTTTCGTGAGAGTACGACCACACACGAACGCAGTTCAACATGCAAGGCATAATCATCCGCGCTAACCGAAATGCGCTCTGAACATCTTCTAGACTGTCGCCACGTATATTTTCCTATTGAATCATCAGGCAGCCGACTGCAGCTACTTATGAAGTACGCGTGCCACATTTCGATGAACCTGGTCTTTCGGCCGAGTCCCTAGGCATTCCTGATCGATATCTTTTATACTGCATCATGAGCTATTTACCAAGTTCATCAGTTATCAATGTTCACACAACATCCAACCTAGTGCGCAATACACTGCTCGACATTTAAATTTAGACCATGGTATTTGTACATGCGCGCACGCACGCACACACGCAGTCACACATACATATATATATATTCATATAAATATATATATATATATTATATATATATATATATATATATATATTATATATATATATATATATATAATATATATATATATATATATCGAAAAGGCGACACGAGAAACGACTACATATCGTGCCTGACGAAGACACAGGACTGACAATTATTCACACATGCATGGGCAACGTGGTGGGCCACGCGTGTGCTATACAGGGATACTCACGCAGACTTCACAGACACATACTACGATCTAACTACTACATAGCATATAGACTTATTTCACGACAGAGACGGTCACATGTCTCAAGACGGCGGCGCTTTCTTCCGCGATAACTGTGTGATTTGTTAGGGCTTCTCGTGCTGTAATGGCGAGGTCACGGTGTTTGTTTAATCGCTAATGTGATTCTGCAAACCGAAACACGCTCCTCTTATTTGCACTGTTGCCTGCAGCTTAAACAAGAAAACCATCTCAATGTGAATGTCAAACACGTAGTAACTCGCTAGGTACAGCGGGGTAATCACAGAGTAAACGCAGTGCCTCCCCCTCCGCCGCATCCTCACATTAGGCGAGGCAGGGCACGACGAGACTGGATTACGGGGGGGGGGGCTTCAGTAGTCATTTAATTAACAGTGTTAGGTCTGTAGCAGCGGCGGCGATAAAAATACGCTGCTTGATGCGCGTCAATAAGAGCAAGTCTGGCTATAATTGCCAAGTAAATCGCGCGCAGACAGAACTACTCTCTCTCACTCTCACTCTCACTCTCTCTCTGTGTGTGTGTGTTGTGTGCGTGC